TGTCATTTTCTTTGTCAGTTCCCCAGTATAGTCAGAAGCAGCCGCCCCAGGCCACATCCTCATATGCATGGTTTCTATCCCCATCCTAATGTCCTATTGCAAGCGCCCCCTGGTGTCTGAAACCCAGGCTTGTGATGGGCACTGCATTGCAGAGACCTCAAGGTGACAATTCTATCAGTGACAACGTTCATGGATTATCTGCATCCCGCTTCCCACTCCTCACGCGGTCATCACTGACATCAGATGAAACCTGGTCTGTCCAATTACTAAGGCCAGATTCCCATCTTCAAAGTTCCGCCTTCCTGGAAACGCTGCTGGTACCAGGAATGGTTGGTCAGGACCTCTGAAGTCACTCTAGGCACTTTGGGTAGAAGGAGATTCATTGCAGGGAATTTTAGACTTACACAAATGTTGAGAACTTTGGGGAAGGAAGGTTATTTCCGGAGATCTGGAAGTGCAGGGATAGAAGGGTGGCGTCCACTGCCCCCTGACCACTGTACCTCTGACACAGTTAGAAACCGCCCCAGTGATCCTAGCTGCCTGCAGCACCTCAGGGTGATTCTCAAACTGACTCCAGAAGCCAAGGTACACCTGCCGCCAGTGACTGCAGGGGCCTCTGCAGAACAGACGTTGATGAATGAAAAAAAGTGTGGTCTACCCGTAGCAGGGAATGTCATTCAGCCTTGAAAAGGAAGGAAATCCTGGCCAGGTGCGGTGGCTCATGCCTGTAATCTCAGCACTTTGGGAGGCCGAGGTGGGCAGATGACGAGGTCAGGAGATCGAGACCATCCTGGCTAACACGGTGAAACCCCATCTCTACTAAAAATAGAAAAAATTAGCCGGGTGTGGTGGCGGCACCTGTAGTCCCAGCTACTCGGGAGGCTGAGGCAGGAGAATGGCGGGAACCTGGGAGGCGGAGCTTGCAGTGAGCTAAGATCGCACCACTGCACTCCAGCCTGGACCACAGAGCAAGACTCAGTCGCCAAAAAAAAAAAAAAAAAAAAAAAAAGGAAAGAAGGAAATCCTGCAGCTTATGCCTGTCATCCCAGCTCTTTGGGAGGCTGAGGCAGGAGCATGACTTGAGGCCAGGAGTTCGAGACCAGCATGAGCAACATAATGACACCCCGTCTCCACAATAAATAAACAAACAAATTTAAAAAATTCGCTGTAGTCCCCGCTACCTGGGAGACTGAAGCAGGAGGACAGCTTGAGCCCAGGAAGTCGAGGCTGCAGTGAGCTATGATCTCTCTTGTCTCGAAAAAAGAAAAAAAAAAAAAGGAAAGAAATTAATTCTCACACAGGCTACAAAATGGATGAACCTTGAGGACATTATGCTGAATCAAAGAAGCCGCTCAGCAAAGGACAAACCCTTAAGGTTCCCCGTATACAAGGAACCCAGAGCAGTGAAATCCCCAGGGACAGGAAGTGGATGGTGGGTGCCAGGGGCTGGCGGAGGGGATGGGGAGTCGGTCTTTCATGGGACAGGGACAGCTTCGGTTTGGGAAGTTGAAGAAGTTCTGGAGATGATGACGGTGGTGACGGCTACACAGCAATGTGAATGTATCTAACGGCACTCAACTGTACACTTTAAAATTGCGTGCACTTATGATGGTAAATTTTGTTTTGTGCATTCCACTGTAGTGAAAAAGAGTTGGCCGGGCGCGGTGGCTCACGCCTGTAATCCCAGCACTTTGGGAGGCCGAGGCGGGCAGATGACGAGGTCAGGAGATCGAGACCACGGTGAAACCCTGTCTCTACTAAAAATACAAAAAAAAAAATGAGCCGGGTGAGGTGGCGGGCGCCTGTAGTCCCAGCTACTCGGGAGGCTGGGGCAGGAGAATGGCGTGAACCCAGGAGGCGGAGCTTGCAGTGAGCCAGGATCGTGCCACTGCACTCCAGCTTGGGCGACAGAGCAAGACTCCGTCTCAAAAAAAAAAAAAAAAAAAAAAAAGAAAAAGAGTTAACTTCACCTGAAATGAATTCGTGTGGTAACCACTGGTTCTGTGTTAATAGCATGGATTTCGGTTGTTTCTACATAAAGTTGTAAAATATCTTTAATCCACATTGTAAAGGCAATACCATACGGGAAAGAAGCCAGACACAAGGGACGACAACGCACAGTCTGATTTCACTGTTGTGGAATCCAAGAGCCGGCCAAACGGGCCTGGGGTAATGGAAATCGGGGTCGCGTTTGCCCATGGAGGGGAGGCTGGAGTGGGTGAGGGGGCTTCGGGGCTCGTGGCGACCACATTCCTGGTTCTCTCGAGGGGCGTTTTGGGCACGTTGGGGTGTGGCCCCCCACCACAACTCATGCAATCGTATGCACTGAAAACCTTTGCATCTCACTGCCTCTGATGTTTTCCCTCTTGATTTAAGACAAACCCATGAACTAAATGTTGTCAATAAAGCCACACCTGACATCGGAAATCCTTTTTTTTTTTTTTGAGATGGCGTCTCGCTCTGTCGCCCAGGCTGGAGTGCAGTGGCGCGATCTCGGCTCATTGCAAGCTCCGCCTCCCGGGTTCACGCCATTCTCCTGCCTCAGCCTCCCCAGTAGCTGGGACTACAGGCGCCCGCCACCACACCCAGCTAATTTTTTGTATTTTTAGTAGAGACGGGGTTTCACCGTGTTAGCCAGGATGGTCTCGATCTCCTGACCTCGTGATCCACCCACCTCGGCCTCCCAAAGTGCTGAGATTACAGGCGTGAGCCACCGCGCCCGGCCTTGTCATTGGGAATCTTAACCCACTTCCTCCGGTAGACAACAAAACAAGAAGGAAAAAGACCAATAACTTGACAGGCGTTCTGGAGCCCGTGATAGACAGACTTGCTCCCAGAAACACCACCTGTGGAACCCCGCCCCCCCCTTCTGGGCGTAAATGGAACACGGGAGCCTACGCCGTGTCGTGATCCACAGCACAGATGGCCACATGGTTGAAAAGTTGGCATTGGACAGTGTTCACTGGGCACCCCGGAACCCAGGAGTGGGATTAACAGGAGATCCCCCCGCACTGGGAGATGGAGACCCCGCTCCCAGCCAGGCTGTGTGCGATGGGCACGTTCCAGCGCTTCTGATGCAGGGCAGGTGAGCCCCAGAGTGGAGCTCGACCCTTGGGGACCCTTGGCTTTGCCCAGGAAAGAACCCAAGGACGAGCAGGCAGAGAGCAGCTGCTCAGGGCAGTTTGCATCACGTTTAGACCCACTTGTAATTACATGCAGTTTAGAGAGCGGTTCATGCAGAAATTTCTAGGGAAGGGGTAGGAACTTCTGGGTCATCAGGTCGTTGCCGTGGAAAGGGTCGGCAAGGCTTGGGTGAATTCACCTGGCACCGCGGAGGGCAGGTCTGACTGGAAAGCCGCTTTCACCCTGCCCTGTTTTACGTAGTCCTCAATCTGGCCCGGTGTCAGAGCCTGGCCTCTGGAGCCAAGTCCCCATCTCAGCTCCATGTGGCGCTCAGGGCTGCACTGGGTCCCCTGCTCGCCCACCCGCAACACCCCTTTCACCCTGCCCCAAACGCCCCTGTGTTCTGTCGCCCCAAAAGCCACCTGGAGCCTCCTCCACCCTGCTGGAAAGTGGCCTTGGGCCCTGGCAGGACTGGACGCAACCTCTTGCTGTAGGGCCGCCGTGCCCTGCGTCTGCCTCCCTGGCCAGGCCGGCCTCTGGGGCTGCCCTCCAGGCAAGCAGTGCCCGCCTCTCCGTCTCTCCTCCTGCAGCCACGGCCTAGATGCTGAGTGACCCTGAGCCCCATGCCTCTCACCTGTGACCTTGGGGACACCAGGCCCCAGCTCAGGGCTGTTTTGGTGAGTGGAATAATTCGGGCGAACGGGTTTTAGGAAACTCAGAGCTTGGTTCACACACAAATCATCGTTATTAACTTTGCGAATGGCGGAGGAGGTGCCGGGTCCCTGATGTCCACGGGGCTTACAGTCGAGTTGGGGAAGCAGCAGTGACCCACACGAAATCAATTCGACAGACCACGTAATTGCAACATAAATCACGCACGTGCGTCGGGGACGGGAGCTGGGCGAGCAGTCGCCTTCCTGCACCCACGGCCTCCACGTCCACCGGCTGGGCGCTGACGTGGGCTTCAGCGCAACCCAGGGGCCGCCCTCCCGGTGGGAGGTGGGGGTCACTGAGGAGCTCCTGGGCAAGCTCAGTGACTCAGCCCTCAGCGGAGCTGACACTCACTGGGCACATGCAGCCCCTAGCAGTCCAGGGTGGACATGTGGCCCTGCAGGAGTCCTAGGGGCTTCCCAGAGGAGGGGAGGCCAGGCCCCCTGGCCAGACCTCAGAGGCGTGTGTGGGCACCTTTGTATGCTGGGGAGAACAGGACAGCGGTGTGTGAGGGCACCTGTGTGCGTGCCAGGGAGGGCAGAGATGTGTGTGAGGGCATGTGTGTGTGCTGGGGAGGTCAGGGAAGGGAAGGGAAGGGAAGGGAAAGGAAAGGAGAGGAGGCGGTGTCCAGGGAAGGGCTGAATGGGGACCTACTGGCCAGTGGAGTGTGGACCCCAGGGTGGAGAGGACGGGGGAGCCAGGGCACAAGGTCCCAGCCTTCACCCAGGGAACTCAGCAGCAGATCAGGGAGGGGTGAACTGGCTGGAACTTCCCACATCTGCTGCTCTGGTCATTTCATGGAGGACCAGAAGGAGGCAGGAGGCGTCTCAGAGCCGCTGCAGTGAGAGGTTTCTCGGCTCAGGCCCCCGCTGTGTTACCAGGGTCTGGGCACTGCACCCTCTGTGGCTGTAGGAAGGGAGGCAATGGTGGAACGGGGTTGGGGTTGGGGACCCAGCAGTCCAGTGTGGGGTGGCCGGGTGGGTGAGGTGGGGCCAGGTTCCAGGAGCTTCCTGCCTGGGGTCCCCAAAGCTATCAGAATGGGAGAAAGCTGGCTGTGCTCAGGACGGGGGTGGGAGACCTGTGGCGAGAAAGGGACTCAAGACAGCCCTGGAAGCAGGTTCGAGGGGAGCCCAGGCCAGCAGGAGATGGTGCTGGTGTGGCCCGTCATGCATTCCCAGAGTGGCCTCAGCGACCCTTCTGGTCCCACCTGCCCCTCCCAGCCCTACCACCTGGCAAGAGGTGGGCCCCCTGCCCCCATCAGCCCCATGGAGGAGCCGCATGTCACCCGAAGCCCAGTCCAGCTAAGTTCTCCAGGGACAAGCAACGAAAGGGAGGAGGAGAAAAAGGAGGAGGAGGAGGAAAAGGAGGAGGGGCGGTGGGGCCCATCCTGGCCAGGGGTCCCCCTTGGCCGCCCTGGGTGTGTGGTGAACTCTGCCAGGCAGGCACTGGGACTTGGTGGGGGGCCCCGACCTCCCATGACCTCTCGCCCCGCCCCCCCCGCCCACTGCCCTCCATGCGGGACGAGGGGTGCTGTAGCATCTTCAAGCCCACAGACACCCGGCAGGGTCCCCTCTGTGCCCAAAGTCCATCCTCCCGTTCGTTTAGGTGGCACAGACATGCGCAGCAGAGGTGGACTTGAATCTGTCCCCGGACCCACACCCAGGGTCCCAGGGCAGCCCATGGGGCAGCAGGGCTGTGCAGGCAGTCGGGAGAGGCCCTGGGTGCGTTAGAGGTGACCACGGGCATGCACCTGTGTCCATGGAAGGCACTGCCGGGGACTGGAGGGAGGCTGGTGGGGGCTGGTGGGGCTGGAGGGGGGGGGACAGCGACCCTCACATCCCCGGCCCCGGGCCCTGGCCTTGCTTGACAGCTGGACCCAGTCTGCCCTGGAGGGTTGTGAGCCTCTGAGGGTGGCCCTGGGCATTCTTACCCTCACTAGACAGCAGCACACCCAGGGCTGGGCAGCGGTGGGAAGGTGCTGAGGGTGCTCTCGCCTGCCCGGGCAGTCGGGGAAGTGGGGACCACAGTGCCACAGGGCTCTCCCAGGGCCTCTCTCGCAGGCCTGCAGACACCACCTCTCCCTGCATCCTCAGGGGGCTGTCCACCTGTGCAGAGGCTCCCCGGGAGGTAGTGGGGGGGAGTGTCCAAGTCTCCTCTTCTTACGGGGACCCCAGCAGACTGGAGCAGGGCCTGCCCTAAAGGCCTCATTTTAACAAAATTCCCCTTCGAAAGGCCCTACCTGCAAATGCAATCGCACGGAGGTCCTGGGGTTCAGGACTATGACGCATGAATCTGGGGGACACGATGTAGCCGATGCAGGATGGCATCAGTGACACCCGCCCGCCGTGCGCTTTTGCCTGCATAGTTGGGGCTACCCCTGGCTCTGGTCGTCCTCCCGGGGGGCCCTGCTCTCAGCCTGAGCATTTGTCCCCTGTCCCCTCTCACCCCAGCTGTGGTTTCCGTCCCAGAGGGTCCTGAGCAGGGAGACATAAAAGGCCAACGCCGACGCCAAGGAGCCAGTGATGGGGGCTGTTCCCCTCAGCAGGGGCCGGGACCGCCGGGCTCACGGGGAGGAACCAGGTGGGGTGGGATCTTACCAAGAACACGTGGACGGACCTCGTGTGGGAAACGGGAGAGGGGAGGGGGCTTCAGACCAGAGACCCCAGAACACCCACGGAGGGGGCCGGGTGGGAGGAGTCATGGGGAGCCGGGGAGGGAGCAAGGGGAAGGGATGGTGGGGGGAGCTGGGGGCCCCGAGCCCGAGGGGAGGCCACGGGACACAGAGCAGGGAGCTCTGTGCACAGGGGCCAAGGGGGCCTCGGGGACCACGGGGGCCCTGGGAGCAGAGGTGCAGCAGGTGTGGGAGAGATGGAGGGAGTGGCCGACCTTGGCGACCTGCAGTGCCCTTAGCCTCCCCTCGGGTCAGGCTGGCCCATCAGGCTCTGCACCCCCCCTGCTGTGGCTCCACACTGGGATGGCGCCGGCTGAGGAACAGAGAAGGAGGACAGGCTCCCAGCCAGGGAGCGCCAGGGAAGGATGGAGGACTCAACCCTTTGAGGGCCAATGGGCCATGGAGGGAGTCTTCCCTGGCGTCACTGGGCTGGGGTGGGCCTTGCTCCTTCCCCTGTGGGAACGGGGCCCTCTAGGATCAGCCCCTCAGGGACCGCTGCCGCCCTGTCCCAGCCACTGCACTGAGGCCCAGCCACGGCCTCCCTCAGCAAAGGGGCCTCCAGGATTTTACATGGGGTCCCAGCGACTGCACCCAACCGTGGGAGGCTTCACCTTCAGGCGACCAGAAAAGAGTGACTAATCCTACCCTGAGCTCACCCTAATCCCAGGCTCCCCCATGGGGTTCCAGCTACAGGGACCTGAGCTCACCCTAATCCCAGGCTCCCCCATGGGGGTCTGGCTACCGGGAGTCTCTGTTCAAATCCTACCCTGAGCTCACCCTAATCCCAGGCTCCCCCATGGGGGTCCGGCTACTGGGAGTCTTTGTCCAAAACCTACCCTGAGCTCACCCTAATCCCAGGCTCCCCCATGGGGTCCGGCTACTGGGAGTCTCTGTTCAAATCCTACCCTGAGCTCACCCTAATCCCAGGCTCCCTATGGGGGTCCGGCTATAGGGAGTCTCTGTCCAAAAGTGCCTGGCTTCAGGGCTGCTGCAGAGCTGCCTTTGGGGTGGGGGTGACAGCCAGACCCCGTTCTCCTATAGGGAGGCAGGGACTTTTTGTGGGGCTCATTCACAGGAGGGGCTGGAGACCCAAGGGCCGCGGCTCTTTGGGATGGTAGATGAGACAAGGGTTTCTCCAGGAAGCCAGCACAACGCGCGCCGGAGGGCCACGCCCCCAGCCACAGATGGTCTCACACCAGAGACAGGTCAAGGTCAAGTGATGCAGCCGGGTACGGTGACGCCCGCCCGCAGTCCCAGCACTTTCAGACGCCGAGGAGAGAGGATCGCTTGAGCCCAGGAGGTCAAGACCAGCCTGGGCAACATATGGAGACCTCATCTCTACGAAAAAAAAAAAACCCAAAATTTAAAAAGTTTAAAAAAATAGGCCGGGCGCGGTGGCTCAAGCCTGTAATCCCAGCACTTTGGGAGGCCGAGGCGGGCGGATCACAAGGTCAGGAGATCGAGACCACAGTGAAACCCCGTCTCTACTAAAAATACAAAAAATTAGCCAGGCGCGGTGGCGGGCGCCTGTAGTCCCAGCTACTCAGGAGGCTGAGGCAGGAGAATGGCGGGAACCTGGGAGGCAGAGCTTGCAGTGAGCCGAGATCGCGCCACTGCACTCCAGCCTGGGCAACAGCGTGAGACTCCGTCTCAAAAAAAAAAAAAAAAAAAAAAAAAAAAAAAAAAAAAAAAAAAATTAGCCAGGCGTGGTGTCATGCACCCGTGGTCCCAGCTGCTTGGGAGGCTGAGGTGGGAGGATGGCTTGAGCCCAGGAAGTCGAGGCTGCAGTGAGCTGAGACTGCACCACGGCACTGCAGCCTGGGTGACAGACAGACCCTGTCTCAGTAAAAGAAGATCAAATGACTAGTCCTGGTATTGAGGAGAACCAAGAGAAAAATCCCTTATGAAATGCAGATTTCGTGAAAACACTAACTTTACAAAACTGGAAATCTGCCAACTATTTAGGCATGAGGAATTGTCATGCAGGGTTGCCTAGCAATGGACAGGCACATTTCAAGAAATACGGGCTCAACCCATCGGGCCATACTATTTTACTTATTACCATTCAATGTAATTATGCGCTATCTTTCTCCTTGCATCCAAGGAAACTCCGCTGCTGTGTGGCGGGGCTGTGTGGCCCTGTTCTGGGAGTGAGAGAATGTTGGAGGTACTGCTCCTAAATCTGAAAAACAAATAATAGTAATGATAAAAAACAAATTGAAATCATAAATAAATGGTCTCATTACAGGCGAGGTGCAGGCTGCTGGGAAGGCGGGGCTGGGGCACCCCTACGGCCACGGTGGCCGTTCCCCGGCGGGGACCTCGCCATGATCTCTAGAGCCACAGTTCATTAAACAAGTAAATACAAAGACAGTCACACTAAAAATTCATGGAATATTAAGCCACAATTCACCAGACTATAAACATCATTACGTCCTGATTTTCCTGTTATCAATCAGATGGGAGCTCCTCCTGATGCATTTTCTGCTCAATTGTTTTGGACACAGTTTCTTTTTTTTTTTTTTGAGACGGAGTCTCGCTTTGTTGCCCAGGCTGGAGTGCAGTGGCCAGATCTCAGCTCACTGCAAGCTCCACCTCCCGGGTTCCCGCCATTCTCCTGCCTCAGCCTCCCAAGTAGCTGGGACTACAGGCGCCCGCCACCTCGCCCGGCTGGTTTTTTGTATTTTTTAGTAGAGACGGGGTTTCACCGTGTTAGCCAGGATGGTCTCAATCTCCTGACCTCATGATCTGCCTGTCTCAGCCTCCCAAAGTGCTGGGATTACAGGCTTGAGCCACCGCGCCCAGCTGGACACAGTTTCTTTCTACCTCACTTCTTCGTGGCTGTCTCAGGAAGGGACAGGAGGGAGGAGAGTGGCCTCCCGGGCTCCTGCGGCCTCTGCACGCCCTGCTTTGTCAGTAAGCGTGATGTCAGGCGTGGCCTCCCCACTTTCTTCCTTTGCAGGTGGGGCCCATTGTCCCTCCTCACTCTGCTCCCGTTAACTTCGGGGTGCACCATCATGATGCTGGTTGTGCGGACTCGGCCTATTCCTCTCAAGGAATGGGATTCATGCTCCAAAAGTATCTGGCCTGCGCCTGGGAGCCCCTCGAAGATGACACCCTCCTTCGTGCCCCTCCCACCCTGCACCCAGCACCAGCAGGAGGGAGCCTGGTGCAGCCCCCGGAAGTACACGGAGGGGAAAGTAGGAAAAGTCCCACTTTAAGAATGTGGCCCCCGTGCTTTTTCCAGCTTGTTTTTTTTTTTTTTTTTTTTGAGACGGAGTCTTGCTCTGTCACCCAGGCTGGAGTGCAGTGGCCGGATCTCAGCTCACTGCAAGCTCCGCCTCCCGGGTTTACACCATTCTCCTGCCTCAGCCTCCCGAGTAGTTGGGACTACATGCGCCTGCCACCTCGCCCGGCTAGTTTTTTGTATTTTTTGGTAGAGACGGGGTTTCACCGGGTTAGCCAGGATGGTCTCGATCTCCTGACCTCGTGATCCGCCCGTCTCGGCCTCCCAAAGTGCTGGGATTACAGGCTTGAGCCACCGCGCCCGGCCCTTTTTCCAGCTTGTTTAAGCATTTTAAACATCGTTCTGAAATACACATAAAATGTGCCACCTGTGACTCCTCAAGGATCTAGAACTAGAAATACTATTTGACCCAGCCATCCCATGACTGGGTATATACCCAAAGGATTATAAATCATGCTGCTATAAAGACACATGCACATGTATGTTTATCATGGCACTATTCACAATAGCAAACACTTGGAACCAACCCAAATGTCCATCAGTGATAGACTGGATTAAGAAAATGTGGCACATATACACCATGGAATACTATGCAGCCATAAAAAAGGATGAGTTCATGTCCTTTGTACATGGATGAAGCTGGAAACCATCATTCTCAGCAAACTATCGCAAGAATGGAAAACCAAACACTGCATGTTCTCACTCATAGGTGGGAATTGAACGATGAGAACACTTGTACACAGGGCGGGGAACATCACACACTGGGGCCTGTGGTGGGGTGGGGGGAGGGGGGAGGGATAGCATTAAGAGAAATACGTAATGCAAATGACAAGTTAATGGGTGCAGCAAACCAACACGGCACATGTATACATACGTAACAAACCTACGCGTTGTGCACATGTACCCTAGAACTTAAAGTATAATACCGAAAAAAAAAAGTGCCACCTGACACATTCTAAGCGTCTACAGTCTGGGAGCGTTCAGTACATTTGCACTGATAAGGTTTGGCTCTGTGTCCCCACCCAAATCTCAGGTCCAATTGTAACTCCCAGGGTTGGAGGTGGGGCCTGGTGGGAGGCGATTGGGTCTGGGGGACGATTCCTCACAAATGGTTTAGCGCCGTCCCTGGGTGCTGTCTGCCGACCCGGCCTGAGTTCTCTCTAGCTCTGGGTGTTAGTAAGGATGCAGCAGCTCCCGCTCACGCTCTTGCTGCTCCCACCAGGTAAGACAAGCCTGCTTCCCCTCGCCTTCCGCCACGACTGAAAGTCTCCTGAGGCCTCACCAGAAGTCAGGTAGGCACCAGCATCAGGCTTCCCCTGCAGCCTGAGGAACTGAGAGCCCATTCAACCTCTCTTCTGTAGCAAGTACCCAGTCTCGGGTGATTCTTTATAGTGGTGCGAGAACGGACGAATACACGTCCCGCTGTGCCACCCTCCCCCCGCCCCCCACAGCCTGCTCTCGGGCTTTTTATACCCCCACCTCCTCCTTGCTCATGGCTGACGGATACCTAACAAGGCGGGGAGCTGCAGGGCCCACGCTTTTCCTGCTGGGTCATAGGCCGCGGGCCTTCATCCAAAGTCAGGTCTGAAGTTTCCCACGTTCCCAGCCATCTGACCGCTCCACTGCCTCCCACCCATGTACGAAGCCCCACCCAGGCTGGGCTGAGTCTCCTGGGGCCCCAGGATGGTGTGCCCACCTCTGAGTCCCTGGAAGGTCTTTCTGCGTCCTGTGACTGGGTCCTGCCTGCTGGGACTTGGGCCTCAGAGTCACCCAGGAACAAGGCACCCATCTTTCTCCAGCACAGCCTAATGAGAGGCAGACACAGACTCCGATCCCCCTCGCGCTCCTGTTTCCCTCCTCAGCACTTCTCCAGCTGCCCAAAGAGTGGGCAGGAACCATCACCCTTGGGCTATAGAGGCTGAGCCTCCCAACCCAAGCAGACAGAAGTTCTGGGAGCCACCTCAGCACCACCCAGCCAGAGTGGGCAGCGGGGACGGGCCACGGGGTGCTACGCATCTCAGCACCTGCTCCCAGCCCCTCCCACCCCCCTCACCTCTCCTTCCCCCACCCTGAGTCCAGGGGATAGGGTGGGGCCAGCCCAGCTGGGAAGAGAGTGGAGCTTTCACTTGGGGTGCCCCAGGGTGAGCCTGGGGTGTTGAGGGGGTGACACAGGTGGGCAGCTCTTGGCCCTCACAAAGGTTGTCATTTTCATAGCAGAGAGTAAGGCCTGCCAGACACAGCTCTGGAATCTGCTCTGGTCCCCTCGACAGTGTGGTCAATGCTCTGTGGGTGGCCAGTGACCCACCTGGTGAGCCCGGTGGACAGGACAGTGTCCTTGGGGATATGGGACCGGCGCCTCTGAGGCAGGGCCCGGCCTGAGGAGCCTCTGGGGCCTGCTGGGGTCCTTGGCCTCCGTCCACCGTGCACCTCCCATTCCCCCAAGCCTCTCCTCCCACACCCCTCCCTCCTCGCCTCTCAGGGACCCTGTGGCCCCTTCGTAGCACCCCAGCTTATGTGACCTCAGGTTACACAGGCAGCAGCCTGGGGGCACGTCTGGGCTCCTCTGTCAAATCATCAGGAGGACCTGGCGGGCCGCACATAGGCCGACGGTCCATGGAGCCACGGCCGGGACCGGAACAGAACCACTGGGGCCCAGCCCTAGATGCGAATTCAACAGCGAGGAGAGCTCTGACCTGGAGCAACAGCCCGAGGCCCCTGCTGCACTCGAGCTGTAGAGAGGGAGGCCATGAGCTCCGACAACACAGACAGAAGACCGGGCGCGATAGCTCACGCCTGGAATCCCAGCACTGTGGGAGGCCGTAGTGGGTGGATCGCCTGAGGTCGGTGGGTCACCTGAGGTCAGGAGTTCAAGGCCATCCTGGCCACCATGACGAAACCCCGTCTCTACTAAAAACACAAAAGTTAGCCAAGCATGGTGGCAGACCCCTGTAATCCCAGCTACTTGGGAGGCTGAGGCAGGAGAATCACTTGAACCCAGGAGGCAGAGGTTGCAGAGAGCTGAGATCTCGCCACTGTATTCCAGCCTGGGTGACAGTGAGACTCTATCTCAAAAAAATAAAAAATAAAATAAAATAAACACAGATGGGAAAATGTACCCAGCCCCCAAAATACCACAATGAAACCGAAAGCCAAACAAGCTCGGAAAGAAACATTGCTACATGCACGCCACGGAGAATGCTAATATCTTCCATTTACAAAGGGCTCTTATAAATCAGCATTAAAAACCAGAAAGGACATGAACAACTCACAAAAGAAAAAGGCAAATGGCTACTAAATACGTGGGGAAATGCGGAACCTCAGCAGCGAATGAAAACGTGCAGAGTAAGGAGGGTCAGAGTGCGGCCACTGAGGGACCACTAGGGCGGCTGGTTCACATCCACAGCTGACAAAGGAAGGAACCGGCGTGAGCCCACGGCTGTAAAATCAGTGCAACTCCCAGGGCTTCTTACTGCACCATCCCTCTGCGTCCCACTCCCCACCCTCTGGCCTGTCTTCTCACTGGCAAGCCCTCCTTGGGTGTCTGGTTCCTATGTGGGCAACACTTACCTCTGTGTGCTGGTGACCCGTGGAGCTTCCAGAACAATGTGTGCAGTCCGGAGCTGACCCCCCTGCCACCCCAACAGGGGCTACCTGGGCACTGCACTCCCCAGGCTTCCCTCCTCATCCCTCAGCAGGGGCATTGTGGGGGTGTGAGCACACATGCTCGGCAGGTGCTGGATCTGTGCTGGGCTTCTGAGCATCAGAGGCCCCAATGTGCCCCTCCAGGCTTCCTAGTCACCTCCATTGGGCACAGCAGGAAGCCCCCAGGCTGGGGCAGGGGCAGGAGTTCAGATGGAGACAGGCAGTTCAGCAGCCAAAGTCCCCATTGTAACAGGCGCTGCTTTCCACCAGTGTGTAGCACCTGGTGGTGGGGACACCCAGAGGGGCCTGGGTGGGAGACCCCCACACCTGCTCCCACCTGCTCACTGACCTCCTGCCTGTCCCTATGGGGGTCTCTAGCCACCTGTGTACAACAGAGGGGGAATCAGACTGTGGCCACCCTCTCTAGACCTGCACCCCGTTCCTTTCTGCAGCCGGACGGGCTGGCCAAGAGCAACCGATTGTGGAGGTAAGAGGCCGATAGCTGTCGGGCATGGAGCTGGTGGGCGTGGGGCTGGTGGGCATGGAGCTGGTGGGCGTGGGGCTGGTGGGCGTGCGGCTGGCGGGGCCTGGGGCAAGCCTCTGGGAAGGGACTGCTGAGAGAGCAGCGGGGGGAGGACCAGAGGCGATGAAGGGAAGGCAGGACGGGGGTGGGGCGGGGCAGCAGCAACAGAGGCCCTAACCTGAGCCGCCCTGACCCCGCTCTCTGACCCCTGTCCAGGGACAGGTGCGTGCCAGACGTGAGCAGAGAAGACAGACGCAGGTGTGGCTGTGGGCAGGGCGGCCTCTCTAAGGTCCCCAGGAGTAGTGGGGGATCTGTTTGCAGGACAGAGTCATGGGAAGCCTGGGCCAGCCAGGCAGGTCCTGCCAGTGGGGAAGGAGGTGGCTGCTCCCACGGCTGGGCCAGAGGTGTCCCTGATGTCCGTAGATGGTGCTGGGAACCAAGAAAGCAGCTGCTCTTCCTCCTTCACACACGGATCGAGGTGAGGAGGATGGGACGGGTCAGGGATGGGGCGGGCGCAGGAAATCCAGCTCCCAGCTCCTGGGGGCCGTGAGCTTGTCCCGCAGCTCCGGGATGCTGCTCAGCGGGTCGCCTCGTCATTGGTCGTGCGCCTGCTCAGTCTGGGGCAGGGGCTGGGACAGCGTCTTTAATCCCTGCTGCGGGTGCGGGGATTAGGACAACGCGGAGTGAGTGAGTGAAGGGATGGCGCCCTGAGCTCTCAGCGCGGGGAGACCCACGCCTGGCCGAAGCGCCAGGAGCGCGCAGGGGTGGGGAATGGGGGGAGCTGGGGGGAGGAGCTGGGGGGAGGAGCTGGGGGGGGGAGCAGGGGGGGGAGAGAAGGTTGATGACGTCAGTGGTTCAGTTCCGCAGCAGCCGGAGGCCGCGGACGTGAGACACCAGCTGACGCCCAGAGCCTCACAACCCCTGGACCCTGGACGCACATTCTCCCAGGGCCGGTGCCTGGAAACAAAGGCCACCCTCGCCAGCCGGAAACTTCTAGGCTGGCAATGGAGATGGAACATCCGATGACCCCCTCTGTATCCTCCTCTCCCCTGGGGTCCTCCAGGAAGACCTGCGTGGTCAATGACCCACTTTGTTTTGTTTTGTTTTTGAGATGGTGTCTTGTTGTGTCTCCCAGGCTGGGGTGCAGTGGTGCGACCTCGCTCCGGGGTTCCAGCGATTCTCCTGCCTCAGCCTCCCAAAGTGCTGGGATTAAGGCGTGAACCACGCACCAGGCCAATTTTTGTATTTTTAATGGAGACAGGGTTTCACCATGTTGGCCAGGCTGGTCTTGAACTCCTGACCTCAGGTGATCCACTTGCCTCAGCCTCCTACAGTGCTGAGATTACAGGCGTGAGCCACTGCACCCGGCTTCAATGACCCACTTGTCCACTGCCCTGCACTTACATCCTCAGGCAGCTGGAGCCACCTTCGGCAGGAAGCCCTCCCCCTACCACCCACTCACCCACAGGCGGGGCTTCCCCTTGGGTTGCCATTGACCTTGTGGTCGGCAGGGCACCCGGTGCTCCCAGGTGTGTCTCCCTGCGTGGCCCATGAGCTCTTCTGTGTGGTGCTCAGAAATGCTGCTGGGCAGTTTTACTGAAGTTTGTACATATATGATTCGATGAGTTTGGCAAACGACCCAGCCGTCAGGATGCGTGAGAATTCCTACCACCCTGGACCTGCAGCCACCCCTCTGTCTTCTGTAGCTACAGTTTTGCCTTTTCTAGAATGTCATAGAAATAGAATCATATAGCACATGGCTTTCTGAGGCCGGATTCTTTCACTTGGCCTAATGTGTCTGAGATTCGCCCACATCTCGGCCACGCTCCCCGGCCCGCTCTGGTCACGGCTGAGTCGTGTTCCCCGTGTGGGTGCACCACAGCCTGTCTGTCCAGTCAGCACCCAAGGACAAAGGGTTCTTTCCACTTCTTGGGTGCTACAAATGAAGTGGCTATGAACATTTGCATGCAAGTTGTGTGTGGCTGTAAGTTTTCATTTTTCATGGGAAAATACCTGTAAGTGGCATTGTTGGATTGCACAGTAACGGTGTGTTTAATTTTATAAGAAACTGACAGACTGGTTTCCAAAGCATCATTTTGCACTCCCATCTGCAACGTCTGTGCGTTCCAGGTGCTGTGCATCTTCTAAATTTTAGTCATTCTTTTTTTTTGAGGCAGGGTCTCACTCTGTTGCCCAGGCTGGAGGGTAGTGGCTCTATGACAGCTCACTGCAGCCTCCATCTCTCCGGTTCAAGCAATTCTCCCACCTCAGCCTCCCAAGGAGCTGGGACTACCAGTGTGGAGTCCTGGTGGGTAGCCATGCCTGGCTATTTTATTTTTTATAGAGACAGTGTGTTAGGCTGTTCTTGTGTTGCTATAAATACCTGAGACTGGGTAGTTTATTTTAAAAAGAGGTTTAATTGGCTTATGGTTCTACAGGCTGTAAAGGAAGCGTGGCATCAGCAGGCTGTAAAGGAAGCGTGGCATCAGGAAGCTTCCAATCACGGCGGAAGGCAAAGGGAGAGCAGGGGTCTCACACGGCAGAAGCAGGAGCAAGAGAGAATGGGAGGGGAGGCACCACACACTTAACCAGATCTCACAAATACCATTACAAGGACAGCACCAAGCCACGAGGAATCCACCCCATGACCAAAACATCTCCCACCAGGCTCCATCTCTAACACTGAAGATTCCATTTCAACATGATGTCTGGGCGGGGACAAATATCCAAACTATATCAGATGGGGTCTTTTTTTTTTTTTTTTTTTTTTTTGAGACAGAGTCTCGTCTCGCTCTGTCGCCCAGGCCGGAGTGCAGTGGCACGATCTCGGCTCACTGTAAGCTCCACCTCCTGGGTTCACGCCATTCTCCTGCCTCAGCCTCCCGAGTAGCTGGGACTACAGGCGCCCGCCAACACGCCCAGCTAATTTTTTTGTATTTTTAGTAGAGATGGGATTTCACCCAGATGGGGTCTTGCTATGCTGCCCAGGCTGGTCTCAAATTCCTGGGCTCAAGCTGTCTTCCCGCTTTGGCCTTCCAAAGTGCTGGAAGTAGTAGCATGAGCCACCGCACTTCGCAGCTTGTCAATTAAAAAAAAAAAATTAAAAGAAAATTTAAAAAATATAATTAAAATTAAACTGATTACTTAGACATTTTAAAGTCTCACTCAATATGTTGAGAGATACATAATAGTTTTCTGTGTACAGGTCTCATGCAAATTCTGTTAAATTTACCCCTAGTATTTTGTGGTTTTTAAATTCTCTTTTTAAGTGGTACTGTTTTCATAATTTCAATTTCTAATTGATTGTTAGTACACAAATAGAACTGACCTTTTTTTGGCTTTGTACCTTGTGGCTTTGGTAAACTTGCTTATTCATTTTAGTACCAGTTTGTAGCTTAGAATTTTCTGCAGACAATAATGTTATCTTCTTGTTTTGAGACAGAGTTTCGCTCTTGTTGCCCAGGCTGGAGTGCAATGGCACGATCTCAGCTAATTGCAACCTCTGCCTCGTGAGTTCAAGCGATTCTCCTGCCTGAGCCTCCTGAGTAGCTGGGATTACAGGTGCCCGTCACCAAGCCCAGCTAATTTTTGTATTTTTAGAAGAGACAGGGTTTCACCAGGTTGGCCAGGCTGGTCTCGAACTCCTGACCTCAGGTGATCTGCCCTCCTCGGCCTCCCAAAGTGCTGGGATTACAGACGTGAGCCACCGTGCCCGGCCATTAATGTCATCTTCTAATAAAGATCACCTAAAATTTCTTTTTCAACTGGTACAAATTTTGTTTTCCTTGCCTCATTACTTGGGCATGTCCTCTGGCACAACACTGAAATAAGCGGTGACAATGGACAACCGTGCCCTGTCCCTGACCCAAGGAAAAGCTTTCAGTTTCTCACCACTAAGCGTGACGTTAGCTGTGGGTTTTTGTAGTTTCCCTTTGTCAGGTTGGGAGTGCAGGAGTAGAACAGATTCGAATCTTCTCCTCCTGGTTTACTGAAAGCTTTTGTCGTGAATGAGTGTTGAATTTTGTAGAATGCTTTCCTCGTGTCTATGGAAATGACCGTGTGGTTTTTCGGTGTCAGTCTGCTAACAGTGAACGACAATTGATTTTGAAATGTTAAACTAACTTTGCATTCCTGGGTAAGCTCCACAAGGTCGTATGTGTCCTCTTTATATATTGCTGGAACTGATTTGACGTTTTGTTAAGGGATTTTTGCGTCTAGGCTCCTGAGTGGACTTTAATTTTCTTGTCATGTCCTCGTCTGGTTTTGGCACCACGGTGATGACGGCTTCACACAGAAGCTGGGAAGTGGCCCGTCTTCCTCTGTGTCCTGGAAGCGTCTATGTAGCAGGGTGCTTTTCCTCCATTAGTGTTTGGTGGGCTCCACTGGTGAGTCTTGGCCTGGACTTCTTTATGAGACTGGGCCCTTTCCTAACTCTGGCAACAGACCTTTGTGCTCAAGAGCCCTGGCTCCCTCGGGGCTCCTGCCCCCACCTTACACGTGACGGAGGGGGACCAAGGGCTGTGGCATCACTGTCCTGAGTGCCTCCTGGCTGGCCACACCCTGGCACACCCCCTCCTGGAGCACCCCAGCACCAGACCCGCTGGACGGAAGGGCAGTTGTCCTGTTGACCCCCACGAAGATGGGGGCAGGGAGGGCACGGTGTGCCATCGATAAAGCGTTGAGTCTGGGGTTTTGTGCAGCACATTCAAGAGGGGACAGCAGGAGGGCCGAGGGAGGCTGGGAGGGCAATTTGAGGATGGGCACTCAGAGGCTGAAGGCTGAGTAGCCCCTAGTGCCTGGAGGACACGCAGCGGGCCAGAAGAGAGGCCCCAGACTGAGCCCCAGAGGCCACCAATGGCACAGGTTGCTCAAACACAGACAGGGAAGAAAAGACCTCAGGGCTGCAGCAAGGGGTGGGAGAGGGATGCAAGCTGGCAAGGAAGTGGGAAGGAAGAAAGCAAGAATTTTGGCCACTGGAGCAGCCGGATGCAAATGGTCAATAGAGCAAAATGCTGCTGAGGACACCACAAAGCTGCGTCTGACTCTGCTGCAGGCTGGGAGGCCAGGTGACCGTGGCAGCAGAGAGAAGGCACCTCGGGCCAAGTGCCCCTGCCCTCTGGCTGTGGCCTGACGCCCTCTCCTGGTCCTGCACACCCTCGGCCTCTGTTGGCACCTGGACCAGACCACTCCCAGTCAGCCTCCAGCCAGATGTCACTGCTTGATAGTTTCTCCAGCTGGAGGTCCCAAACACTCTAAATTCGGCTAAAAATGCCTGCTGCCCCCCCACACAGCAGCAGCAGCCGGGGCGGGGGAGGGGGGCCCTCTGCCTCTGTCCCATGCTCTCAGCCCCCCTTCCCTGCCCCCACTGGCAGGGCCCTGACTGTTCACGCTCAGAGGCCCCAGGATTAGGCAGGGAGGACCCTTAGCCCACAGCAGTTGAAGGGGAGCAGGGCGGGGGCGTGCCGGCCGAGAGTGGACAGGCACTTTGGGGCCCACTGCCCTTCCCCAGTTGGAAATGCGGACAGCCCAAAGAGCAGGAGGGCGCACCGGGAAGGCCCTGCAGTTTCCTGAGCTCATACAGGCTTCCCAGGGTGGGGAGCGGGCCACGGTCAGCAACAGTGTGTGGCAGAGCCCGCAGGAGAAATGTCGGCAGACCATACACGGGCAAGATCTGAGACCCCCACTCTGCAGGGTTCCGGGTCCCCCTCACATCTCCCCTCCCACCACCTTCTGCAGCACGGGCTTAAGGAAATATCAGTGCCTTTCTGCAAAGAAACAGAGGGTCCGTCCAGGTCTGGCTGCCTCTTCGGCTGCCTGTGTTTAGATCTCCAAAGGCTGCTCCCGGCAGCCCCTGCCCAGCTGCTCAACCTGAAAGAGGGGTCGGCAGCAAGGGCTGGGAGGCGCCAGGGCGCTGCGGCCAGACCCCAGGTGAGTTCCTTGACTCAGCGCCGCGCGGGTCACTGTGGCATAGCTGGGAAAACTGCCGCTTCTCCCTCGGGAGCGGAGGCAGAGGACCACGTCCTTCTTGGGGGTGCAAAATTACTGCTTGGACAACGCCTGCGTGCAGCAGCCCCACAGACTCCCATGCAGTCCCCCCGCCACGGGTGCAGCACCCCCGCCCCGCATGCAACTCCCGCCCCCTCCAGCGCAGCATGTCCCCCACTTGTGCAGCACCCCCAACGTGTGCAGCACCCCTGCTCCGAGTGCAGCACCCCTGCCCCGAGTACAGCACCTCTCCCCAGTACGGCACCCCCGCCCCGCATGCAACACTCGCCCCCCTCCAGCGCAGCATCCCCATCCCCCGCGCGTGCAGCACCCCCTTGAGGGGCAGGAAACTCTTTGGGACACCCGGGGTCACGCCCTGCAGGGTAAAACCCCAGTCCTGAGCAGCCATCTGCAACCCCTCGCCATAGGCCCACCGCCTGCTCCGTCCCGGGATGCGCCTTAAGGGCGGGTCGGGCGGCAGCGGGAGCTCTGCTGCCTGATGGGACCGGACGTGGCAGGCGGCTGGCGGGAAGCTCCCAGGTCCCGGCCTCGCCTCGCCCCCTCGAGTCTCCCCGAGCGCTCGCAGCGGCAGGGCGGGGCGGAGAGGCGCTGATTGGCCGGCGCGGGCACCGCTTGCAGCCGCCGCCGCATCCCACTGTGTTCGTACAGGCTCGTGTCGGCTCGGCTCCGCTGCGCGGCCCGGCTCGGCTCGGCTCCCCTCAGCTCCGCTCGACTCGGCTGTTCGGCTCGGCTGTTCGGCTCGGCTACACGGCTCGGCTGCGCGGCTCGGCTGTTCGGCTCGGCTACGCGGCTCGGCTGCGCGGCTCGGCTCTGTTCGGCTCGACTCGGCCGCTGGGCTCGGCTGTTCGGCTCGGCTACACGGCTCGTCTGCGCGGCTCGGCTCTGTTCGGCTCGACTCGGCCGCTGGGCTCGGCTGTTCGGCTCAGCTGCGCGGCTCGGCTCTGTTCGGCTCGGCTCGGCTGCGGGACTCGGCTGTTCGGCTCAGCTGCACGGCTCGGCTCGGCTCGGCTCGGCTGCGCGGCCGCGGACGGGCGTGCGCTGGGGGCGCGGGGCGCGGGGCGCGGGCCTCGGCGGCGGCGGCGGCGGCGGCGGCGGCGGCGGCGGCGGAAGCCAGGTGCCCCCGCCCGCCCTGTCCTCTCGACGAGGCGGAGGCGTCGCAGCGGGCCAGGCCTCGGACTGCCGCGTCGGAGTGGACGCGGGGGGCGGCGGCGCGGGCGGACGCGGGCGGCGCAGAGCAGCGGGGCCCGCGGGGGCGCCCCGGCCCGGTCGGCGCGGACGGCGCTCGGCGGACGCGGGCGGACGCTGGGCGGCCCCTCCCTGCCCGCGCGCCCGGGCGCCCCTGGCCGGCGCCGGGCCCCGGAGCGATGACATCGACGGGGAAGGACGGCGGCGCGCAGCACGCGCAGTATGTGGGGCCCTACCGGCTGGAGAAGACGCTGGGCAAGGGGCAGACAGGTGCGTGCGGCCGGGGCGGGGGCCGGGGCCGGGGAGGCCGCGCTGGCAACGCGCTGGGTGGGGGGCGCCCGAGGGAGGCCCCGGCCGCGAAGCCACAGGCCCGGCCCGAGCCCCGGCCGCGAACAATGGGCGGCCCGTGCGCCCCCGTCCGCTCGTGCGTCCCGGTTCCGCTGCGGACCCCGCAGGCCGCTTGGCTGCGGTCGGCCGGGCGCGGCCCAAGGACACGCGGCGCGGCGCGGGGCGCGCGGGCTGACGGGGGCGCACGGGCCGGGCCGGGCAGGCTCCCCTCGGGCCCCGTTGCAGGTGCGCGGCCCGGGCCGCATTGTGCGCCCCGGCGACCGGGCCCATTGTGCCGCGGGAGGAGGGGGCCGCGCGGGCGCCCATCTGCCGTCTGCCGCGGCCGCGCTAATAGGCGTGCTGCCCGAGCAGCTGCGCCCCCGGCGGGACTCCCACCTCCGCGCGCCGGCCACCGGGGCCACCGGGCAGGCCCGATCTCCCTCCGCGGTGGGGGCGGGAGAGTGCGGGGACCTGCAGAGGGCTGGACAGCGCCTTGCGCTGCTCCGGCTCGGGCTCGGGCGGGCGGAGCGTCTATGACCTGCATTCCCCCGGGGGAGGGAGAGGCCATTGGTGCCGGGACCAGAAGTGCGTGGGACCTGACCCGTGGAGCGGCCCCGCGGCTTGCCTGTGGAGGGGGCTTCCCGGTGGGGCCTGGCTGTCATGCTAGGGAACAGGCGGGGTCCCTGCCTGTTCTAGGGAACCGGCGGAGGCCCAACCCAGGCCAGAGACAAGCCAGGCTACCCTCGCATGTGGCCAACTCTCCCCGGCCCGCTGGGCTTGGCTAGCCCTTCATCTGGTCCGTCAGGCGCGTTCACAGAGTCGCCTTTGTGGAGGCTGGGGCTCAGCCATTTTCTTTCTTCTCCCAGGACCGGCCTGTCTCTTGGTGTCCCCGAGGTCCCAGGGCACTGCTTCTCCCTTCCAATCGGAGAAGTTCCTTAGACCCGGGCAGGCAGGGGTGGAGGGAAGGAGGAGGAGGGCGCTGGTGCAGGGTGGAGGCTCAGCCCCTCACGGCTGCACAGAGGAGGAGCTGGGAGGTGGCGTTGGGGAAGGAAAGTGGGCCAGGCCCAGGCTCTTGGGGGAGGACCGTGGCTGTGATGTAACTAAGGCAGAGCTGCAGGAAGGGGTTTGGGCCGGGGGGTTCAGGGGAGCCCCCTTGCATTGGGTGCACAGCTTTCCCGCACCAACCACGTCACGGAGGGGCCCCTGGCCACAGAGCAGGGGCTGGGCAGTTGGATTGGTGCGGCCTGGGTTGGAGAGGAGGTAGCATTCAGCCCATGTCACCTGGGTTCAAAATTCTGGTCTTTCCTGGAAAGAAAAACTAGTTTGTGAAATCCGTGGTGAAGGAAGGGCCCAGGGCAGCAGGATGCAGGAGTCAGTGAGATAATCCAATTAGGGTACCAATAAAATGTTATTATAAGGAAACATCCGCGTGTAAGTGAAGATACGATGAGTTATGTGCTGTGCGATGAGTTATGTGCTGTGCACGGCCTCGGTGGGTAGGGGCTGGTCTCCAGTCTTCATGGAGTTCTGCTGGCGGCAGTTAATTACGGGAGGTTTCCACTGTAATTAACAGTAATGAATACAAAAGGATGGGCTGTGTGTGTCTACAACGTGCTGAGAGAGATATTTAGAAAACAGCTCGAGGGGGGGCACAGAGCGGCCCCTCTCTCATGAGTTCTGACGGGCAGAGCGTCGCTGGCAGGGCCCTGGCGAAGGCCACCATTTCTGGCCCCTCTCTCATGAGTTCTGACGGGCAGAGCGTCGCTGGCAGGGCCCTGGCGAAGGCCACCATTTCTGTACGTCTTCCCGTTGCTGCTGCTGACGGCTCACCGGGAGTTGGGTTGGATGTGGGGCCCCGAGTGTGTGTGCTGGGCCACTTGGCACCAGATGCCAGGAGAGCTGCCAGGTCCCAAGCTCAAGAGGGAGATAGGCTTCCTGCCAGGAGACCTCCGTGGGAGAACGGGAGGCTGGGCTTCTGGCCACCACCGCCCGAGGACGGTCTGGTCCTGCCGTTGAGAACGCTTCTCCGGGGACCTGGACACAGGGGAGTTGTGGAGGCCTTGCTTGGGGGGCTGTTGGTGTGGACACGACTCCAGCCCCTTCCCTGTGTCTGTGGCTGGCAGTTTTGTTTGGCCCTCTCTGTTCATCTCCTCCCCTCTGTCTGAGTCCTTGGAAGTGGGAGCTGCTCGACTCGAGGTGGCCACTGAGAGGGAGGTGGTCAGTGGCAGTGGCAGTGAGCCTCATGGTACCACGAGAGCCCTTCCACCTAGCTGACCCAAGCTGGGGCCTGTTGGAAGGTGGGCCAAAAATACGCTCCAAAACCTGCCCTTGGGGAGTCTGGCCGTGTGGGGAGGGGAGACCACGCAGCCTCCCTCTGGGGCCTGGAGGACCCCCCTTCTAGGCGCCTCAGGGTCCAGTTGGCTGTCTTCTTGTGCCTTTCAACGCGAGTGCTCCATGGTCTCACCTGTACAGTACCCGCCTGGCTTGTTGGGTCTGTGCCTCCTGCAGGGCCGGTGTGGCTGCAGGGTCATCCTTCTGCATGGGGCATCCTCTGCACAGCTCCCCTCGGTGGCCGTGGGGGTCACCTCCGGTGGTCCCACTACTGGAGTCAGGCACCAGGTGAAGCAGTCAGAGCGCGGAGCAGCTGTGTAAGCCTTGCCGGCTGCTTGGTGGTTTCTGGCCGAGACCTGGGGGGATGTAGGCTGGGGTCGGGGTGGGCACCCACCGGCAAAGGTGCTGCCCCAGCTTTTCTCGGGGCCGAGAAAGGCTTGTGTAGCCTCATCTGAGCTTGACCCCTGCAGGGATGCCGAGACACAGTCCCTGCCAGCGAGGGCAACCGTGGAGGTTGGAGGGTGCAGACGCTCCGAGTTGGGGCATGCAGGTCCAGGAGGGTGTGTAGTACAGGCTGCGTGGCCTTCGTCCCTGTGTGCCTTTGTCCCTGTGCCCCATCAGTATGCAGAGGAGGGCACCTTCTTGCCCAAACCTGGGCTCAGCTCCTGAAAGCTGGGGGGCCTGGGAGGGCCTTGTGGGAGGAGCTGGAGAACCTCAGGCCCTTGGAGCTGTTCTTGGGGGCAGGTGGGTGGGCTGCATGGGACGATGAGAGGCCTGCCCTTGGGAATCCTCTGCCTGGGGGGCGGGAGAAGGAATGTGGCTGGGATAGGGCCCCCTGGGAGGGAGCAAAGGCGATAGGATGAGGGGCTGCACTGCAGCTCACCTGGCGGTGTTCACCTGCTGTGGCGTGGGGGAGGGCCCTAGGCTGCCAGGGACCTGGGACATCCCCTCCACGTTCTCAATGGCCTTTAGGAGAATTGAGCCCTGGTGGCTGCCAGGGTGGAGAGGGGTCCTGGGGTGGGAGGAGCCAGTGAAGATGGAACAGGTGAGGGGAGGGAGAGCCTGTGCCTGGGAGACCCTGGGGGTGACCGCAAGTCCAGAAGCTGGAGGCAGATGTGGAGGGGCAGGAAGCTGGCCTGAGATGAGGTTGGTTTAGAAAGTTGAACAGGATGGGCAGTGATTGGCTGTGGTGTGCAGGCCCCTGGAGATGGGCCGCCCCTGGAGATGGGCCCTGGAGATGGGCACTGGAGGTGGGCTGTGCAGGGCCGAGCCTGGAGAGCTCTTGGGCAGACAGGACCCGGCAGCCTCCCTAGCTGTGAAAGTGGACTCCGCGTGCGAGACCCTGGGAATTCTGCGGCCCTCTCCGCGTCAGGCCCTGGCCGTCTGACCCCAGCTGTTTTGTTAGAGCGACAGCCGCCTGGGGCTAGGCTGAACCCCTCATCTGCCCTGCACGGGGTTTCCACAAGCTCGGGTCTCAGGACGCTGTTCTCAAGGGCGCCGTGCACAGAGCCCGGGGAGCCGGCATGGCGGGCAGCCCTCCCATCTAAAGTCTCCGTGGACCCCCGAAGTCCCTGGAAAGGCCCATTTGGTGTCGTTGGGCACCGTGCCAGTGACTGCACCAGGGTGGAGGCCGCAAGTTGCTGCCCCTAGAGTCTTCCCACCCTGCATGCCCTCCGCAGGGAGCCCCCTTTCCAGCCGAGAGCTGGCCTTGAGTGTCCCTGTCAGGGCCCTTGGCACAGAGGTTCCGGGTGGTGAGGACAGGCAGTTCCCCAGGCAGGGGTGGGAGGGTCATTGGAGGCGGGAGCCCTAGGCCCCTGTCCTGTCCCCACCCGCTGTGGCCTTGGGCATCTCAGGTGTGTGTGTGTGTGTCCCTGTTGGCATAGGTTTCCCTGCCTTGTCACTGGCTGGCAATGGCTGAAAAGACACTGGGCAGAGGGCACCGCCTGGCCCTGACCGTGCTGGCCGTGCTGGCCTGGCTCTGCTGAGACGTGTGTACGCCGTGGATTTCCTGGATGTGGAAGCCTCAAGGCCAGGCTGTGCCCCCACCCCCAGCTGTGCCAGGGAGGGCTTTCCAGAGTCACCGCGGCTGGCTGCTGCCCCGCCTGCTCCACCATCTGCCCAAGCAGGGAGTCGTGTCCAGAACCACCGGGGCATGCAGGGCCTGGGCTGTGATGCGAGGTTGGCCCCTAGGCTTCAAGGCGATTTGTTTGTGGCAGATCTCACGCGGGCCCAGCTGGGGCTACTACCAAGGGCTGCGGCTCCTGCCTGCCACCAAAGCTCCAGAGACTGGGTCCCCATCATCGTCGGCTGCCACGGTGGTCAGGGCCCCTTCCTTGCTCTGAGGGTGGCTGGGAATGTCTTAAGGTTGTCGCTGCACCAGGTGTGTGTGGACCCCCACGTCCCCCACTCCTGGTGCCTCTTCCCTTCCAGCCGCCTCGAGGACTGCGTGGGGCCAGCAAGGCCTGTACCCCAGGACACCAGGGTTGCTCAGACTGGCTTCTGGACCTGGGCCTGAGTGACCTCTCCTGGTTCTCACTCCCGGAGTCGTCTGCTGAGTGACCCCGGGGCCCTCTCATCATGGCCTCACCCTGCTCTGGTGCTCTGGGAGCCTT